TTCTCTGTTGATATGCTGTTCCAGTCGTTTCAATCACTTCAAGATGCACAAATAGCTCAGTCACAGGGTAGTCCATACCCTGCTGTTTTATACTGCAGAGTCGGTCCCCTAGCCGGCTTTCCAGCAACCTTTCAGAGGTAGTAAGTTACACAGGAAGAGAGTGCCCATCTTTCTCCTAGGGAGCTGCTGGTATATTCAAACCATGTACTTTTGGGCTGGCAGTGCAGCTCTTTAAGTATGTAGCTATCAAATTTTTTTAACAACTTTTTCAGGAAATGTCACTCCATCACTAAAGATAATTCCTTAGGACTTAGTGAGGAAATCTCAAAAAGCTGATTTTCTAAAGAACCACAACATCAGCAACAAAAAAAGGCCACCTAATGAAGCTCATTTCACCATCGTACATGAGAGAGAAACAAATGCAGTAGTAACAGAGAAGTGAGCAAGCAAGTGCAAGCTGATGGTGGGAGATAATGTTTAATGAATATTGAAGAAAATTGATTGAAGGTTGATTGAACTGTTCATTTCACTTGGACCCACAATCAACACATTTTGCACCAGAACTCAGGAACTTGAAAGACACGTTGCATTGGGTAAATCTGCTGTCAGAGATCTTTCCAACATGTTGTAGAGGAATGATGTTAATTTAAAGACTAAGGTGCATCTGTTTCAGGCCACGGTCTCTACAGTTAACTTGTCATGCATCTGAAAGTTGGAGAGAGACTAAAGATGACAGCAGAACAGTCAAAACCCTTGTAATGATGTGTTGAAGGAGACTGCTGAATATTCCATGGACTGCAAAGAGAACATAGTGCAGCCAGGGTACTCCTTGGAGGCATGGATGGTGAAGCTTCGTCTCACGTATTTTGAGCCTGTTGTCAGGAGGAGTGTCTTTGGAAAAGGACGTCATACTTGGGAAAGTGAAGCAAAGTTCAGTGAAAGAGAGAAACACCCTCAACAAGATGGTGATTGTAACTGTAACAAAGGGCTCAGGTATATCAGAGATGATGAGGATGACACAAGCAGGGCAGGGTTCAGATCCATTGTTCATCGGGCCACAGTGAGTCAGAGTTGACTTAACAACAACAGCAATACAATTCACTCTTCTTCCTTGTCAAACAGACTTGAGATGATTAGTTACTGTGAGGCACTGCGAGTTAGAACCCACTCAGAGCTGACCTTCCAGAGGGTTTCATGGGCAGTAAATCACATACATAGGAGGAGACTGGCCGTCTTTCTCCCATGGAGCAGCTGGTGGATTTCCGCTGCATGCCTTTGAGTTGGCAGTGCAGCTTCTTACCAATAAGCCACCAGAGCTTGATTAGAGACTTAGTAAATGTTCATGCTTATCTTTAAAATTTAATTATTAGTTCCTAGGTGTTAATATGATTAAAGTTTTATCTGAAACCATTGTGAGATGAATAGCCTTAAATTTGATCTGATGCTTGAAAATATTCCCTAGTGGATTTACACCTTAATTGAGATCCATGAACAAAACTATAAGTTTTATACATATCATTTCATTCCTAAATGCCTATTTGTGATTTTCTTCTGTCATAAGGTGTTAAGAATGAAATATTTGTTAACCTTGGATTTTCCTAGAATTTCTAGCAAAACTGTTGTCCTTATTTTATTGAAAAGCAAACAAATCTCTCATTTTAAACAACAGTATGGTCATTTCATGTCCTTTCATTTTAGAGCATATACTTGAAGTCCAGGAAATAGATGCATGTGTCTCTTTCTAGTTACTGGTTAATTTGATTTCTGAGTGAGCATGCTAGCAGCAGCTGACTCATGTTGTCGTCAAGGGCCATCGAGTTAACTATGACTCATAAAGACCCTGTGAGCAGCGGGACTGAATCCTGCTCAATCTTGTGCCATCCTCATTGTGTCTGACACACTGAAGCCCACTGTTAACAGTCATTGTGTCAGTCCATATCTTTGAGGGTCTTCCCTTCCTTCACTGACTCTCCACCTTCCCAAGTATGATGTCCTTTTCCAAGGACTGGCCCCTCTTACCAACATGTGAAGAGTCATAGCTGACTAGATGGCACATAATAACAAAAAACAACATGCTCAAAATATGTGAGATGAAGCTTTATCATCTTTGCCTCCAAGGAACACTTGGCAGCACCTTCTTCAAGACATTATCTGTTTGTTCTTTTTGCAGTCCATGGGATATTCACTACTCTTCTGCAACACTTCAGCTCAAAGAAATGGATTTTCGCTCTGTAATCTTTATTCATAGTCCCACTATCAGCAGCATAGCAAGAGATTGAAAAAGTGATTGAAACAGGTGCATCTGAGTCCTCAAACTAACATCATTGCTTCTCAGTAATTTGGAGAGGTCCCTGACTGCTGACTGTTCCAGTGCAGTGCATCTCCTGATCTCCTGACTGTTAGTACCAAGTGTATTGATTGTGGATCCAAGTAAGATGAAGTCATTGATAGTTTGAAACTTTCCTATATCTATCATGATGCCTCCTGTTGGTCTAGTGGTGAGAATTTTTGTTTTCTTGCTTTTTAGATGCAATCTATATTGAAGGCTCTAGTCCTTAGTCTTCTGTAGCAGGTGTTTCAAGTCCTCCTTGCCTTCTGCAAGCACAGTTGTGTCATCTACATAGTGAAGGTTATTAATGAGTCTTCCTGCAATCCTGACGCCACCTTCTTCTTCGTGGAGTCCAGATTCTTGAATGATTTGCTCAGCATACAAATTAAATAGGTTTGGAGAAAGGATACAACTCAGATACACACCTTTCTTCATTTTAAACCATGCAGTGTTCCCGTGCTCTGTTCATACAATAGCTTCTTGGTCAAGGTATAGGTTTCACATGAGCACTATTGAGTGTTATGAGATTTCCGTTCTCAAAGTTAGCCATAATTTGTTATGATCCCTGCAGTCAAATGCCTTTTCCTAGTCATTAAAGCCCAAACAGACATTCTCTGATTTCACCCAGGATCCATCTTACATCAGCAATGATGTCTGTGGTACCACAGCCTCTTCTAAATCCAGATTGAACTTCTGGAAATTTTCTATCAATATACTATTCTAGCTGTTTTTTTCATTATCTTCAGTGTTTTGTTTGTACATGATGTTAATGATATTGTTTGATAATTTCCACATTCTATTGGGTTACCATTCTTAAGAATGGGAATAAATGTGAATCTTTTAGTCATTTAGCCAGGCAGCTGTACTCGAATTTCCTGCCATAGACTGATAAGCATGTCCTGGGCTGCATTGTCATTTGAAACATGACAGATGTCATCCTGTCAATTCCTGGGGCCTTATGTTTGGCCAATGCTTTCAGTTCACCTTGAAATTCTTCCTTCATTATCATTAACCTTATGATCATATAGTTGTTGTTGTTGTTGTTAAGTGCTGTCAAGTCATAGCGACCCTATGAATGAAAGACCCAGACACTTGTATAATTTTTGTCCTTTCTCCAGGTTCACGGGTTTCCAGAGGCAAGCTATTTTGGAAGTGGATGCCACTTCTGCTTCCAAGCTTGTTTTAATTGGGGAACTCCACCAAACACTGTCCACCATGGGTAACCATTAATGCATTTGACATGTCAGTGTCACAGTGTTCAGTTTCTCAGCAACCACGAGTTTCCTCTTTGTATAGCAAGTGAACAGGCCAGGGCTATAGGGCCTAGAAGAATGCTTCACTAAAAACAAAGACAGACCCGACGGCCACAGGCCTGAGGGCCCTACAGGATTTTAAGCTACCACTCCGCAGGCTCCGTCCTTACTTCTTCTTAGTCTAAGGCTCTGGGCCGCCCACCCACTTTTGAAGGGCAAAAAAGAACAGTAGCACACAGCAAAAAGGACCCCAGAAACTTCCCTTGCCTTGACTGCCACCAAGTCGAGCCGCTATTGAGATGCCAGTCATCCCACCAGTTATCCAGCCAACTTCCTGATCATATAGTATTTTATGAAATATTTCAATGTCAGCTAGTTCTTTTTGGATACAGTGATTCTGCATGTTCTATCCTTTTTTTTTTCTTCTTTTCACATTTTTATTCCCTCTATTTTCTTTTGAAGCTTTCCGGGTAATTGATAATTTTGCCCATAGCATCTCTAAGTATCAACTTGAGGCTTGAATTTGTTTTCCTGTTCTTTTAGGTTGAGAAATGCTGAGTGAGTTCTTCTATTTTTGTTCTCTAGTTCTCAGCATATTCCATTATAATATTTTTTGTTGTCTTCTCTGGATACCTTTTGAAATCTTCTGTTGAGCTCTTTTACTTCATTATCTCTTCCTTTTGTTTGGCTTCTTGATGCCCTTGTGCAATTTGCAGAGTTTCTTCCCACATCCATTTTGGGTTTTCCTTTATCCTCTGTGTTTGTAGTAACCTTTAGCATTCTGCAGGGATGCTATCTTTGAGATCATCCCACAGTTCATCTGGTCTTCAATCATTGATGTTCAATACTTCAAACCTATTCCTAAGAGGATTTTGAAATTCAGGTGGAATAGACTGAAGATCATATTTTGGTTTTCGTGGATTTGTTTCCATTTTCTGAAATATTTCAGTATAGGCCTTGACCTGTAAGATGACTATCCACATATTTGCTGTCTTTGGCATGTGTCCTCCTTGGTTGCAAGCCAACAGATTTGTCATTTCTGGTGACCGATTGTGTTTTCTTTTTCAATATCAGGAAAGAGATTTTTCTTTTCCTGAGAAATTGAATGCTTTTTGTTATTGATATGTGCCATCAAGTTGCCTGTGACTCATAGTGTAACTGTGTTCCTTGCCCTGTTCTCAGCCAATCTCACCGTCTCCAACACACCTGTCCACATAATGGAAGTTTCTGTGGTTTTAGGTACACAATTATAAATGTTAGAACAGTAGCAAGTCCAGTATATTAAAGTATTATGTGTCTTTTCCTCACTGAAAATCTGATGTGACATGTGAAAATTACACTAATTCATTTTAAAGTTGTTACTCTTTTTCCCCCCCTCCTTTTTATTATAGTGACTAAAGGCTTTTTAAACTTTTCAGGGAAGCGTGACAGCAATGACCGTATTTTTTCCTTTGGACACAGCAAGGCTTCGACTTCAGGGTGAGTATTAGTCTTCTGTGGTAATTGTATTCCCCGTCATTGGTGTCTGAAAGCAAACAAGGGTCTCTGTGAAATTCTGAATTTATGGGAGGGTATTCTGTTTTTTTAGAGATCCTCTGGATCTCTAAGTTTTGCTAACTTTTTTTTTTATTAATTTTAATGAAAGTTTATAGACACTTAGGGTTTCCATTCATTCATTGTCACACTTTTCTCCCTGCCCACCCTCTCCCCCCCAATTTGCTCTTCTCTTTGAAAAATAAATTCTTTCATTGTTTTACAATCCTTCCCCCTAAGTCCACTCCACTGTGCAACCTTCATTCTGGACTTCTGTCATGACAATAATACCTAATCATATATCCCTTTTAAACAGTTCTGTCCCTTATCTGTTTCAATGCAGTATACATTATTTATTCCCTCTTTCTCAATCTTTCCTCAACCCCAATATCAGTCCCGTTTTACAACAGTGACCCTATGCAATATTTGATCTTTTGTGACTGAGATATTTCCCTCAGCATAATGTCCTCCAGGATCACCCATTTTGTATAATATTTAATGAGTTCCTTATTTTTTTTATATTTTATGAAAATGGGGGTTTTTTTGGTTTTTTTATAATTTTTTAAATTTTTTTTTTTTTACAGAGGTTTTGGATTTCCATTCATTCATTGCCGCAATTTTCTCCCTTCCCACCCCAGTTTTGCTAACTTTTGAAGGAAGTGTTTTATTTATTTTGTTAGGGTCATGTTCTAAGAAGGAAAGGAAGAATAAATACTTTTTTTCTTTTTATTATTATTATTAATTTCAATGAACATTTACAGAGATTGTGGATTTCCATTCATTCATTGTTGCACTTTTCTCCTACCCCCACCCCCAGTTCGCTCTTCTTTAAAAGCAAAAGAAAAACTCCTTTATTGGCATACAATCCCTTTGCACTCTCCCACCCTTACCCCGAGTATACTCCACTCTGCAACCCTCATTCCAAACTCTTATGAAGAAATACTTTTTTAATCTGTATATAAAAAGCAATTGCCTCTGAGTCAATGGCAATTGATAGAAACTCCCTGTGTGCCAGCCTCGAGCTGTGCTTCCTGCTGGTGACAGTGGCCAAGTTTTCTGAAGTTGTATGCTAGGCCTTTCCTCCGAGGTTCCTCTAGGTGGCAGCCACACCGATTGGCTGCACCCCCAGGACCCCACTTCCCCCATGCCACTGAGTCTTTTCTCATCTGTCTTGACCCTCTGTCCTAGTAGGGACATAAACCCTGCTGTTGAGTGGCTTCTGACTCGGGGGACCATATAGGACAGGGTAGAACTGCCACATTGGTTTTCTAAGGCTGTGATTTTGGGGGAAGGAGTGTTTTTTGGGGTGTGTGGTTGTTTTTTTTTTTTGGTCGCTGTTCTTATTTTTTAAAATTGGTATTATTTTTAATTGAGCGAAAGTTTATAAATCATACCAGTTTTTCATACTGCTATTCACAGCCTTTGTTTTATAACATCCCCAAGGCTGTAATTTTTATGGGAGTAGACTGTCATTTAGTAAATACAGCATAGACAGATATGTACTGTAATTGCTAATCAGGATAGTATGTGAAGTCTCATTGCTAATGCAGATATGAGTCCTGATCTGTCTTTAGTTTTGTAAGCTTACATAGTTCTCTACAATTCTTGCTTAATTTCTTTTTTCCCTCAGTAATTTTCACCTTGATATTATAAACCTCTATCAAAGCTTACAAGAGGATACAAGAGTAAGATTAGCTCTGAATGAGTTCATTTCTATGTTAAAACCTTCTGTCGTAAATCAATTTTAATGTTTTTGTAATAGGTAATCATTAAACATGATTCGGAAACAAAATATATACACAGTGAGAAGTCTGATTCTCTTGTATCTCCTTCCCATTTCCACTTGCTGCAAGTAATGTTACCAGTTTCTCAGGTAGCCTTGCAGAGTTGTGTGCGTGTACTTGTATGTAATTATAAGTGAAGAATATATATCCTCACTTTTCTTTGTTACTTAAAAAATGTACTTTAAATCCTGTTCTACAACCTAGTATTTTCCTTTCTAATGGGACCTTGTACATCCCATTAGTGTGTTCAGATACCTTCTCAGTGCACGTACCAGGAGCTTCCTCATTCTTCCAGCTGCTGAGCTGGTGGAAGGACAGTGTAATTTGATGGCAGATTCTTGGGTCCATTTCCACCCCATTGCTATTACACACGGTGATGTAAGACAAGTAGGTAGTAGAGCATCACTTGGTGTTTGTGGATTCAGTGGGATGAATTCTCCAAAGTGGGGTTACTGGACCAAAGAGTAAATGTGTCTGTGGCCTTCTCTTGGGTCTTTACTAATTTGCCAAGCAATACTAGTAGCAGTTTTAATTCTTAGGAAAGGGGTTAATTGCCACATTTTTATGTTCTCAAAATATTTTTACTTGTGGATAGGAAATGTAAAGCTAATTGAGATGGGTTTTGTTTTTAGTGTAGTGTCTGAAAAAATAGTATCCTTGTCCTTTTTTTTTCCTCTTCCCCTTTTTTTCTTATTGTGTACAGTCGAATTGGATCCATCTGGCACAGGAGGAGATTGCCCCTCCTTCTCCAGCAGAGCATCTGGTGGATTTGAACCTTGAGCCTTCAGTATTGCAGTGCAGGCTTCTTGCCACTTGGCCACCAGAGCTCCCTTTGTCCTTGTCGTTTTTGAGATCTTTTTGTTTAGGAGATTGAGCACAAAACCAAAAGTTAGAAAATTTGAATTTTAATTTTGGCTTTGCTGCCCATCAGCATGTAGCCTTTATAGCTTTTGTAACTGTAGCTTCTTCGATAAAAAGAAAAGTAGATTTTTTTTAATCCCCTTTCTACTTTATAGAAAAGTAGAAGGGGAAAAGCAGAAGAATGGGTAGTCTCCTCCCGTCAGCTGTGAGTTGGTTCCAGCTTGATGGCACACAACTTTATACAGTGTTAAAGCTTTTAAAATGGGGGCAAGAGTAAAGAGAGGTGTAGTTGTGTGTTTATGTGCATGCATGTGTGACAAAACCAGGAAAAAGAAATACATTTCTCTTGTCAGATCTTTGGAAATTAAGACTAGAATGAAAATATTTTGTGGTAGAATTAAAATATTTTGTGGTTCATGTAGAGCAGATGGGACCCAAGGAATCTGTAGTTGGGAAGCTAGTCTATGGCTGCTGGGGCCACATTTGGTTCTACAGCAAACTAGGGAGAGCAAAGAAGAGGAGATAAATAGCATTTCAGCAAAGCTTGCTGATACCAAGGTCATAATTGGCAAAGGATTTTATTTAAATGTGTATATTCTTTGCTCTTGTAGTTGATGAAAAAAGAAAGTCCAAAACTACACACATGGTGCTCCTGGAGATCATCAAAGAAGAAGGCCTGTGAGTATTGTCTCACTTTATCTTTGCTCTGTAAAAAGCTGCTTTTTAGAAGACTCGTGTGTTTACAGCATACCTACACTCACTTTCTGCTCTTTCTCATAGCCTGGAAGCATTTGTTGTATAATATTACCTAACTTGTAAAGACATTATTGTTTTAAATCACTTAAATATCTGTGATGGGATATTTTGACTGTTGATTGTAAAGTCTTCTTTGAAACCAGTGTCTAACCAAAAGCTCAATAGTTCAAACACATCAGCTGCTCCACAAGAAAAGAAGTAGCATAAAGATTATAGGGCAGCCCTGATGATCTTACAGGGTGGTTCTATTCTGTCCTAATACACACACCAAAAACTCACTACCACTGAATCAGTTCTGACACCTGGTGACCTTCTACCAGCTTTTCAAGGCTGTAAATCTCTACAGGAGCAGACGGCCTCATCTTTCTCCCAAAGAGTGACAGGTAAGTTCAAACTGTTGACTTCTCCTTTAGCAGCACAGCATGTCACTGCTCTGCAGTCTACTGTCAGTCAGAATTGACTCGGTGGCCATAGATTTTACGCCAAAGATGATAGCTGTTGGGTTTATTCTTTTCATATACGTTCAGACAGACTGTATGATTTGTTGTTGTTGCTGTTAATGTTTTACTTGTAAATAATTCTACATTTATAAAAAATTTACAAAAATAAAGTTGATAGAATAACAGTGTACAGATTCACCTGCATTTTGTACTCTTTCCCTTCTCTTTCCTCTCTGTGTTGTAGTCACCTGTGAAGTGTTGAGGATAAGTCACAGACATCAAAGCCCTTTACTTCTAATGCGTCTACATTTTTTGAGACTAGGACACTTTTCCCATTTGTTAAATAGTTGTAATTTTCCACCTGATCGAGTCCAAACCAACTCATTGCTGATCCTCCAGCAAGTTTTCAGAGACAGTAAATTATACTGGAAGAGATTGCCCATATTTCTTCCATGGTGGATTTGAACCAAGTGCCTTCAGATTGGCAGTTCAACTTCTTATCAGTGTTCACTAGAACGTCCTTTTTTTTTAGAACTCCCTTTTTTTAATAGAACACTCCTCATATTACATGTCCTTCATGTTTCTTCATGATTAAATTGAGGTTATAAGTTCTTGGCCAGAATAATGCATAGCACTGTTGTGTCCTTCTCAGGGTGTCACATCTGGAGTCATACCCTACCTCCTTACCTATCATTGGTTATTTGTGGTTTCTTAGATTTGACACAATTTTTCCCCCTTGCAATGGCAGGCTGTCTAGGGAATATACTTTTAAGGCAATACAAGTACCTTACTTCTAAAAAATTTCCCTTAAATTTACTATGAAACTTCAAAATGACAATTTTCAACTCCAGTATTTTCTTCTTATTTATGTATCTTGGTAGTGTGAGCACGACATACTTAGGTATCTGTTTATGATTGGTTTGGACTCAAAATTTCAATTTTTTTCAGTAGTTTTCAAATGATTACTACTTACTTAATTCTTTTGTTGTTGTTGATAGTAGATACTGTCAAGTCATATATGACTCATAATTCTTTTAGTACTCAGATTATACCAGGTTTACCTAGCAGGAGCCCTTGCACATGGTCTGGTTCTGGGACTTCTAACATGCCCCCATCATCTTTTTCTCTGTTTATTTTGTATATTTACTTCCTCTTAGCTTTTTTTTACTTTGTAACAAAATGTAAATGATGTTATATTAGCTAACAGCTAGAGAAAATTATCTCCCAAGTTTACGAAAGGAAATTAAGAGTGAACAGTAAATGAGTGGTTAAATTTGTATTGTTTCTTTGGTAATATTATTATTTAAAAAGCGTTCTTGAATTGAATCTCCTTCAGAATTTAAGATATGTTCCCAATTTGGAGTCCACTGAAGTGTAGGGTGGACTTGGAGAATATGTGATGGTGACCTGTCTAGGCCTTTCTCTGTTTATTTATTGGCCTTTTCTTTTCTTATTGTGTTTTCCCCTAGCCTGGCGCCATATCGAGGCTGGTTTCCAGTTATCTCCAGTCTCTGCTGCTCCAATTTTGTCTATTTCTACACTTTTAATAGCCTCAAAGCAGTCTGGGTCAAAGGTCAACACTCTACTACTGGAAAGGATCTCGTAGTTGGATTTGTTGCAGGTAACAAGGTTTTCTGGGGATAAAATGTTGTTATGCTTTAGTGTATTTTTTGTTACTCAAGGGTCCTCTAATCCCAAAAGGAAGATCATTAATCGAGTTTATCAGTCTGTACCTGAAATTTTAATACCTCCTTAATAGCAGTCCTGGTACCACAGTGGTTAAAGTACTTGGTTGCCAGCCAAAAGGTCTATGGTTCAAACACACCGTCTGCTCCAGGGGAGAAATATGTAGCACTCAGCTTCCATAAAGATTTCCAGTCTACTTTGGGAACCCTATGGAACAGCTCTACTCTGCGTATGAGTCTGTTATAAGTCAGAATCATGATGGCTTTCAGTTTAGTTTAAAGATGCTAAAAAAAAAAATACAATTGCATTATGTTTTCTATTTAGTTTACTTACTTTTTTAACTGAGCTTTTTTTTAAATTTTTTTAAATTTTTTTATTATTTTGTGTGAGTGTACCGTCAAATCAGATCTGACTGGTACAGGAGGATATTGTGCCTCCTTCTCCGGCAGAACGTCTGGTAGATTCGAACCGTGTTCCTCTGGGATTGCACTGCAGTTTCTTGCCACTAGGCCACCAGAGCTCCCCTTAAACTGAGCTTCTATAAGATTTAACATAAACAGTATCTGCTACATAATTGCAGGGCCTAGAGCAAAAACCCTTGTTCACAATGTGTTAGGAGTATCCAGATGGTGATAACAAAGCTTCAAATCAAGTGTGACACAGGTCACATACCAATAAGGTTGGCCCTGAACATGAGAGCATTTAGTCAAAGGTAGGAAGGTGTTTTCATACACAGTACTATAATTTGTATCCCAAGAGTTGTTGGTGCTTTAGGAGCTCAGAGAAGTGTCCAGAAGAAAGAACCTTCTCTCACGTTTGACTGGAGTTGTCTGCTTAGAGAAAGCAGTGGCCCTTGAACAGAGCTTTCCAGAATCTTCATCATCACCACAGTTCAACGGCATCGATCCTTCTTCAGCCTACCTTATTCATTGTCCAACTTTCAGATTTCTATTTAGCAAATGAAAACTACCATGGCTTGAATCAGATACATCTTAGTCTTTAAACCGATATCTTTGCTCTTTAGAGCTTTGGAGAGGTCCTAGAAAGCAGAATTCTTCCCAGTGCAGTTCATTTTATCATTTCTTGAATGCTGGGTTTTGATTGTGGTTCCAGGTACAATGAAATTGTTGACAACTTTAATCTTTTGTCCATATATCATGATGCTGCCTATTTGTGGTTTTTCTTTTCTTTTTTATGGTGAAAAAAATATTTAGAATTAGCCAGCTGGACTCAGTTTAGATGATCCCAATTTTGTAGGCAACATCCAAAGCATCATTGTCAGAAGCAAGCCTTTATTCCTCCATCAGGCCTAATCAGAGTGTTGACCTTAGTCACATCAGTGTCATAGAGCTTCTTTACAGCTTGTTTGATTTGGTGTTTGTTGGCCTTGACGTCCACAATGGACACAAGTATGTTGTTACTGTCTAACTTCTTCATGGCTGACTCAGGGGAAATTTGATGATGGCACAGTGGTCAAACTTGTTTCTCCTGGGGGTGTAGTGAGAGATCTTCACCCTGAAACCCACAGCGTCCCTTTTCAGCAGGAAGTAGCTAATAGAATACGCCATCCCCTTTTCCTTATGACTCAGGGTGAAGTCTCTCTCAGGGAGGAGTGATAGGGAATGGCAAAGGATACACTGACAAAGAAGATTA